GATATACATTGTTTCTGCTATTCTTAGCTCTTTTGCTTCCTCATTTGCTTACTGAGCCCCCCTGCCCTATATAAGCCTGGCAGGGCACCAGGCCTTGCTTGGTGCCCTGCCAGGCCAAGACTCCACCCACCTCCCCGCAGTCACGGACGACGCACAGTAGCAAAACGAGCTGCCCGCCCCTCCTCCACTGAGGATTGTGAAGGAATTGATGAAAATTCTACCAATTCTTCAATCCTGTCAGGAAAATAAAGGCAAGTTTGTTCAGCCAAAATCCCTCAAACTGATATTTTTGCAGTTCTTCCAAGTATATTTGCACTCATGGTAAATAGTTACTATAATAAAAACCACATTGGGCTAAACAGTTAGCTGAATGTGTGTTATCTGTAGCTAATAGGGATGTGTATTGGTGAAATTCTAGCGATATGATATGTATCACAATATATTGTGATACGTTCAGTCAGGCGATATTTGCAATTTTTTCAGACTGAATTTGTTGTAGGAAAATGCAATAAACAGTTCAAACTGATACATAACATGTTTACCATGAGGGATCTTAAGGGATTTACATTCCAATGGCGGAAACGAAACCCATTGCACATTGCTGCCAATTAGCAGTCGGCATTCGAATTGAACCAAAGGAAAAAAAAAAGAAAAATACACAAACGTTTGCATGTAAATTCTTCCAGATATTCGATACACGACTTTTGAATATCGATATAATATTGCAGGAAAAAATCCTAATCTACTGCCATATTGATATGTTTTTACATCCCTAGTAGCTAAGCAGATGAAGAGCACCTGTCAAAACCAGTTTTTAGGAAACTGACTCATCCTCATGTTGTGCAAATGGAACTCAGTCATAACTAAAAATAATGTACAGAAGTCCGTGTTTGACCTCTAGGGTGCAAGATATACCAATGTGGTCTTTGTTCCCAAGTTGTAAAAGGTCCAAATATGCACTGATTCCTCTAAGCTGTAGACATCATTTTCGATGACGGGCCTTTGTTTTGTAATATTTGGTACAAGGCTACCACCAGATGTACAACACTATTTAAGTACTACCAAGTACCACCTGTTGATGGAACAAGGACAATACTTTCAAGGGTACCGCCCCAGTGTCAAGCCTTTGTACCCTTAAATATCATTGGATCCTTTAGTCTGAATGCTTCTTCAAATCAAAACCTACAACTCCTCCTCCTAAGTAAACACTAGGATTCTCCTCCACGTTACACTTGCAAACTTTGGCCCAGACATTGGGACTAGAACACACCACAAGTAAGAACATCTTAGCACATACAGTATGTGCCAGGCATGCCATGATTGATTCTTATCAAATCACGAATTCTCCGTTAATGAGGACCTTTCATTTATTAGTGTGAAAGTGGAGGAGAGAGATCTCGTTACGACAAAGACACTGATGAGTTTCCGAGAGGCTTGTGACACCACGCGGCTTCATTATTTAATATCACCAGACATGAGGAAGAGAAGTGCACTGACTCACCAAGTCCATCACTCGGATCAAGCTCTGCATTCCGTCAGACTCTACTTCCAACTCGTATGATGTTTTTTGGCAGTTTTCCTGACTTGTCAGTCACACGGACAAACAACAGCTAGTTATCCAGTCTGTTCGTTTCTGCCACAAAGTTGTCACTCTACCATGGAGAAGCCAAGACGTCCGTCTCAGTTCCGAAGCCTAAAATTGGCATTTAAGGAGCCTCACTTTTTGGCACTTCCACATCGCCACTTAAAATGGTGACTGACACTAATTCTGAGCACAATGACAAACCAATGCCAGAGAAAGCAAAATTCAAACTGATGGTCTTCGCAATGTGGCAATTTCTAAAGGAGGCTCAAGCAAAAGAAGTACATGGCTGACATTTGACAAGGCGAGCCGTACGTTCCCCGGGGGGCACCGAAATGCCACCACACTGCTACAAAAGAAGAGATCCCCGAACTGACTGATTTTCCCATTAAACAGTGGTGACAAGAGGAGCACCATCAGAAGCGTAAGTACACTCAAACTACGAACGAGTTAATAGGCCTGCCGGTAATTCACTTTTCCTTTGCGGTCTCTACAAACACCATTCGTCAATGTCACATACAGTTTGTGTCGCCCGTGTTGCATCATAAATCTAATTCCAATCATTTCCATGACTGAAATATGATGTAATTAAAAGAATATGGCTGTGCCTTAGGGCTTTGTTTCCTCAGCCCCCCCAAAAAATACAGCTTCAATTTACCCCACTACTCTATGGGCGAGTCTGGTATGAGCCGATTTAATGCAAATTATTTGAAAAGATCGAATCTTTGCATCCCGTTGGCCCGCTAACGTAGACGGGCTGGATGACTTCACAATAAAAAGCATGAGGGTTAAATGAGTTAAAACCAAGCCCATTACGTGCACACCCAGGGGCTAGTTTCCTCTAGCAGGATGCCAATAAGCTGTAGTTTATAACACAGCTGCTGTAAACAGAGCTTTAATAGATATAAGGCCTGTGATCACACAAGGAAGTGATTAATAGTGATTGTGAACTGGAGCAGCGTTTAAGAAGGCGAGTGGAAACCATTGATTTTAGAACCAAAAGAAAAAAGAATCCCACTAAATTCAGTGGGAGGAAACCCTGAGGGGCTCTTTTAAAGAGCGCATCAGTGATTTATTGATCTAAAATCATTATTGTTATAATTCATTTGAAAGATCCCACAGCTGAAAGGTGGCTGCTGGCAAACTAAACCGGCTTGATTCTGGAAAATTGGTTCAAAGTTTAAAAAACAACATTTTGCGATCATTCAAGTAATTAGTATGTGGTGAACGGAACAACAGGCACGTTTCACATAGGAATTCACATGGTTTAATACCAAGATTAGTTTCACATGTACCCAAGAGGCGTTTTTCGTGTGGAGGAAAATCTGTTGCTTTTGCATTAATTTACATTTAGTTAACATTTATTAATAGAAGTATTCAAATAAGACATTTCACATGTGTATAAGATAATTCACATGTGGAATAACCAGTAATTTCAAAGTTTTTATATACATTTCTACATGTTCCGGATGTGATCCAATCAGTTTCACGTGGGAATCTATTATAGTTTTCACATACAAAAAAAGTACATGTGCAAAGCTGCATTTTCTGGCGAGGAAACTTGTAATCCTATGCATTTCACATGTGAAACAATTTTTTCTGATATTTTTCTTAGTTTAGCAAAACACCTTATAAATTTCAAAACCCAGTTTTCATGTGCAAAACATGTAATTACATGTGTTTCACTAGCAATTTCATGGGTTCCTTGTGCTCAAGTAGGTTTCACATGCTATTAACAAGAATATAAGTTTTAAAATATGAATGTGTAAAATATTTTCCCATGTGCTAATTAGTTTCACATGTACAAAAATAAATACATGGATTTCAAATGCCATATCATAGGTTTCACATGTGATCTTGTTGGTTTCACATGTCATTACCAAGAGAATGTTGCACATTCGCTTCCATGTGAAAACGTGTTTCACATGTGATGCCACAAAATGTTCCAAAACCACAAGAAATACATGTTCTACGTGTTATTCCATACGTTTTACACATTTCACAAAATTTAAAACGTTTCCAAATGGATTTCACATTATCGTAAAGATTTAAAAGCATGTGATTTTTCACATGGGAAAAGTTTCACATGTAGAGCGACTTGCAACCCTGTGGGTTTCACATGTCACTGCTGTGAAAAAGCAACTAGACAGCGTGGACTATGATTTCACATGTGACATGTGACGTCTCATTAGGACCTCCAAACTCTACTTTATGGTAAATGGTCTGTATTTGATATAGTGCCTTCTAGAGTCTTGGAACCCCCCAAGGCGCTTTACAACACAATCAGTCATTCACCCATTCACACACTGGTGGGGATGAGCTACGGTGTAGCCACAGCTGCCCTGGGGCGCACTGACGGAGGCGAGGCTGCCGAGCACTGGCGCCACCGGTCCCTCCGACCACCACCAGCAGGCAACGTGGGTTAAGTGTCTTGCCCAAGGACACAACGACAACGACAGACTGAGCGGGGCTCGAACCTGCAACCTTCCGATTACGGGGCGAGCACTTAGCTCCTGTGGCACCGTCGCCCCACTTTAGGTACTTAGGGTGAACTGACACTTCCTGTGAGTCGAGATGATTGAAACTCAGAGACTAAATGGAACAAAACAACTCGTCCCTAATTTGAAGGACGTCTGGGCAAACGCCAGCCAGTGGAGCGAGATCCGGCCGAGCCAGCGGTATTAAAACTCCAGGCTGTGTTCTGGAAGTTGAAAGCCAGTTACTTAAAGGAAGAGATGGGCTCAGCTCCTTTGGTATTACGGGAAGGACTCCAGACCGTGAGAAGTATTGATGTACCAACATCAAGGAGGGCTGTAATTCCAAAAAGAGGATCAGACCTGTAGGAGGGAGATCCGTGGCGTTCAGCTTTGAAAGCATCCGTCAAAGAAGGAAATCTCTGGAAAAGGGGTTCTTTTTTCTTTTTGGGGAGAGAGCTGTTCCCAGCCACTCTCAGGCTGAGTGTGAATTGCTGCCATGACCCCTCAGCTGGCTAAAGGTCGGATCCTCCAATCTGTGTTTCTGTGGTGACCTGGAGGACAGCATCCCAGAGAGGGGGGGGGGGGGGGGGGGGGGGCACTCATCCCTGTTAGGAGGATTAACAGCTGGAAATCACTTAAACTGATATTAGCTGCACAGAGCACCAACACGCACAGCCTACTTAGAGATAAAGCAGAGAGAATAACCACACACGCGCGCGCGCACACACACACACACACACACACTGATCAGCTGATTTCATTCATGACTAAAGGACTCTGATGTTTAAGGAGCTGCTGGAAATGTGGATGAAACGTAAAAAAAGTCCACCTGGAAAAGCGAAGGTCAAACAGCAGCAGAAAACGGACCGAACCGTGAACGGAGTTTCACTCCCGAACCGAGCACGCGCACACACCAGAACCAAGCGCGACCATGCCCCTACCTGCGCCGGCTCCCGGAGGCTGCTCCTCTCTGTAAAACTTGTCCCGGGCTCGAACCGAGCTCCGCTCTGATCCGTCTCCTCCGCGTCTCTCGCGCCGCACGCCGAGCTCGTGCTGCCGGTAGAGGAGAGAGAGAGGGGGGTGTCCAATCAGCGTTCAGCTGACGGGAATGGAGCACTGCAGCCAATAGGGGACAGGGAGGGAGCGCACCGCTGCAGCTCGGCGCACCGGGAGTGAGATCCGGTGGTGGGTTCAGAGGAGCGGGCAGAACTCTCCCGGTGGTCTAAGCTGGGTTATCGTGGAGGTGGCCATCTAATTAAACTCACACTAGAAGATCTTCTTGAAATTTTATAAAACATTTATAAGTTTTTTTTATTTTATTTTAGCAAAAATAATTTACCAACCATAACTGTCATTTTTTGTCACGCACGTTGTGTCCCACGAGGACGTGAGATGTAGAAAACAATGATTGTGTCAGGCAGGATGTGGTAAACAAACATGAAAATCTGCCCAAAACGCAGCAGACACAAAAGCCCTTAAAGCAGCAAAGATGTGTTTAAAAACGCGAGGCAGCATCAAAACTTTGGAACATTTCACAGCCTGGGCACGAACACTGTGTTCCTGGGAACTTGTTCACTGTGTGGGCAGGCTAGCGCCCTACAGGGGCACTGCTTGTTTCGACTTTGGTTCTTGTCTTTCTGGGTTTCTGGTTCTTTGCTTTGGTTGTTCAAGAAGCAGAAAGCACAATAAAGAAGTCAGCCGTAGCAGCAAGGACGTAATTTTCACTTTAGAAGTGGGGGGACACGGGGGTGGGGTATCTTTACAGTATGTTCTAATGGGAAACAGGCTTCAACACAAACGGTTTTTTTTTCCGCTTGGTCCTAGAGCTCAACCAGTGTCAATTTAATACAGCGTAATATTGTTTTTGGATGGTAAAAAGTGCAGGGGTCAAAACATGACTTTGGAAAATGTGGGGGGGACATGTCCCCCCTGTCCCCCCCCCCCCCCCCCCCCCCCGCCCAAAAAAAATTACGTCCATGCGTAGCAGGATCACTGCACAAGAGAAAACCATGTAATGGACTGGGACAACACAAGGATCATAAACACCGAACAACAGAAATACAAAAGATGGATAAAAGAAGCAATCGAGATAAGGAGACGTGGATGTGGGACCATGAACAGAGACGATGGAGTTTACACGTCGGACCGCGCATGGGACTGCATCATCGGAGTGGGGAGAGTGGATAAATGGAGGAGGAAGTGACGCCACCATCGGCGTCAGCTCTGAGGAAGTTGGCAGACAAACCCGTCAGCAAGGTTAAGAGAAACCTTTCCTGTGTTTTAAAAAAGAACCAAAAATGTAATTAGAAGCCAAACACAGAAAGAACGTACCAAAGTTATTTGCTGTTATGTTTATATCGGTCACATACTGCACATGACATTTATTTTGAAAGTTTTCGGACGTTCTACACTGATTGTGTGTTTGACTTCCTGTCTGGCTCGATCTAAACTGCGGAGTTTGACGTGTTTTGCAAGCGTAGCATCAAAAGTGGACTCGAAGCTTAATGATGGCGTCCCCTCACTTTTGAGGGCGCGTCCGAAACTTCACTCTTCGCTGCTGGTGGAAAGAAGCTAATTCCACTATAACGGCGGATAGTTGCCGCGTCATACGTTTCGCGGCCCTTTCGCGATGCTTTAACGTGCAGTGGAAAGAGGAGGCAAGACTGGAAAAACACTAGAAATCAGAGCAAACCAAATGCAAAGCACTTGACTCATATGTGAATTTCACATGTGCAAATATGGCAAACCAACATCTATAACTTCCACACCAAGAAAAGCAGAAGAACCAAAAGAAAATGAGTTTTTCGTTCATTTGGATCTGAGAGAGTTTTAAAAGAAAACAATTGATATAAAGGCTAAATTAGCAAAAGGTACACATGTTTACCTTCTTACACAGTTACACAACTTAGCTGTTATCTGTTCAGTTTAGTGAAGGCTTCACTTGGAAATGGGGACAGTGGTTGACCTACAGGTCAAAGGCTGAATGTGTGTGGGTGTGAGAGGTTTTCTGCTGCGGTTAGACCCATCAAATAGTTGGTCAAGATTTTTCCTCAGAAAACAAAATGCAACACTGAGGTGGTACAACAGCCACACATGTATTATGATGTTTTTGGTGATCAGATAAGAAAAATGAAGGTTAACATAACATTTAAATGCCTTGAAGACTACGGCCGTGTCCAGATTCAGGGGCAGGATCCTTCTGAGGACGCATCCATTCCTGGTCTATGTAGGTCGGGTCCTTCCTTGACTGCTAAGACCAAAAGTGAGCAGCTGTGCATCTGGACGATCAAGCCTTCATATTTGTTCCCACACTTACCTCAAAAATCTCCAATTCCACCATCAACGAATCTCAACGTTTGCTAATAAGGACAGACCCATCCTAGATATCCGAGGAAAACAAGGAAGTAATCGAGGACAGATTTTGACTATCCTTGAAGTTTGCTCATATTCAGGCTGCAGATGTGGCCTTGGAAGGATGCTTCTCCTGGATGTGGATGCACTTATTGTCTCTGAACGTCTTGGTCTGGTGGTGCCTACAGGAGAAGATGCACCCATGAAGCTGTTGAGCGGTTATCATCAGATCATGTCCGATGTGTGTGAAGGACATCTTTTTAATTCCAACCAACAGAGCAAAAAAACCCATTGTTTACAGATGTATGTGTGTAATTTTAGTAGCAGCTAGCCTGAAGCTGCTGGCAGGAACCAACGAGGAGGTCAGCTAGGGTCACTTCTTCCTCTCTCCACTCCCCCACAGAGAACTTCAAGTCTTCTGCTGAAGAGCTAAAAAGTCTAACAAACCATGAAACAATTCAGAGACGCGTTTGGATTATTTCATCAGATTTTTTGACTTCGATGAGTTTCCACGCAGGTGTCAGAGCTGGTGTTGAAAGGGCTGATTAAACTGACGTCCATCAGCACACGAGGAACGGGGGCTAATCCGGGATCTGCACTCAGATGTTGTGAAGTCATCACTTTCAGGACACCCTTTGGCTGCTGTAATTAACGCACCCATTCATGCTGGGACTGAGCTGTACGGAGAGACAAAAACATTTTACCCTTTAAGCGCCAAAGTCGCAGAATTGCGACATGCAGCAATGTTGGATTTAATAAGCCACAGCAGCAGAAATGAGCCCTCATGCAGTTGATGTGTTACACTGCGGGGTGGCAGACACCTGTAACTTCAATCCAAGCAGCATTTGTGGGTGTGTTACTATTGAAACTTTTCGAGTATTTAGAACTTGAACCCCGCCCACCAGTCGCAGAGCCGCAGGGCTTCTCAGAGCAGTCAGATGAGTGAGAGCGAGCGAGTGGTAAAGGAAAAAACACAATGCCGAGAGGAATGTTCAGTGCTGACGAAGCTCTTCGTCTAGTACTGGCAGACTCGGATTCGGAGGAAGAATATTTCCTGTCGGAGGATGATCTGCCGTCTTCTAGCGAGACAGAAAGCGTGGCTTCAGCGCGCAGCAACAGAGCGTCAGTCAGCAACGATACGGTTACACAAGCAGCCCATCCAGCCCTTATCTTGTCAGATGTTCCGCGTCGGGCAAAGAGACGTGGTGGGGGGCTCGAACTGGGTCTGATCCTTCGATCCACCATGCCAGGGGGGAGGGGGGATGTGGATGTGCATATATATATATATATATATATATATATATATATATATATATATATATATATATATATATATATATATATATATATATATATATATATATATATATAACAATTATAAACAAAATAAACCAAAGAAGGATGAGTGAAATGTGTTCATGACACTGAAGCACCAAAAACATTGTTCTTGATTGATATGCAGTAAACATAACAAAATACCAATAAAGTAATAAATATTATATATATACATACATTGTTATATATGTCTACATAGGAATATGTAAATATGTATCATAAACAATAACAGCACTAAGAAAATAAGCCAAAAACATTTAAAAAAAATCTGCAAATGTGATGCAATCCAATATGGCTGCTACCTGATGACATCATAATATGCAAATTATGTAAGTGAATTTGTTCCTATCACAAAATTTGGCTCGTACTGAAGATTTTTCTAATTTACAATATTCCTCTCTAAATCTCTCTCTAAATTTAAACCTTATTAAATAGCGATATAAAAAATTCATATTTTACTGAAAAAACCATGGCGCCTAAAGTGTTAATGGAACAGTCTGCTGCAGGTCTGTTACTGAGTATATCTATAACTGGAGACCTGAGCAGAACCAAGTTATCAAGGCGGACCAATCAGAATGGGCCACTTCTGTTAGACAAAGATCAAAGAGAAAATGATGAAAGCTAGAAGACTAAATCTGCTCAAATCCTTATGGTTTTACAAAACATTGAAATATTTCTGGGTGGATGATCGTTTTGATTTCCACAACAGGAAGTAATCACACTACATCTGGTATTTCTTTGTATGAGCTCTACAAGATTAGTACTTTCTTCAAAAGTTCGCCTTAATGAGTCTTCTGCACTCTAGTGGACTTTCCGACATTAATATCCTTTATTATAATTCTTCCACGGACGTTAATGTGGCTCGAATGGCAGCGTGCACCCCCACAAATTATACATCAAAATGAGCGGCTCGGCTGTTGGACGTGTACTATTACATTTCTAAGCGATCTGATTTACCATGACAAAATTATTAGCAAAAAACCTAAAAGAATTTCTCATTTTTGGGCAGATTGAACTATCCTTTCAAACTTCGACCATGTGGCGTTTTTTACATTTGCATAAAAACTGCCTTGTGCCAGGTGGCAGTTCCCGTTTTCTCATTTCTTCAGCAATTTTCTAGTTATTGTTGTTATTATCATCAATGTGATAGAGAGCGATTTTCTAATTGCGCTTGAGATGGATGGTGTTCCCAGCATGGCCACTAGATGTCACCTTTATCTCACACTCTTCCTTTAAAGTAGTTGTTTCCAAGTTTTTCCAAACAGTGGAAAATACGAACAACTCTGAAATCTGCTTGTTAGATTAAATAAATGTGACTGAAATGCTGAAACAAGCCACGGCATGATCAGAACACAAACAATTTCAGATTTTTTAGTTTTATTTGATTGCTCGAGATCTTTTAGTGTTTTGCAACCCTCAGTAGGGTACCAACCTTGACTTTAGTGTACACTGTTTAAAAGTACTGGATAGCATAGTTGGTCTATTCCTATCTGACATTCAGTCATCAAACCAAAACAAAATAATAAATCAATAAAAACCTATATGGTATGTGGTAAATGGCCTGTATTTGATATAGCGCCTTCTAGAGTCATGGAACCCCCCAAGGCGCTTTACAACACAACCAGTCATTCATCCATTCACACACACATTCACACACTGGTGGGGATGAGCTACAATGTAGCCACAGCTGCCCTGGGGTGCACTGACAGAGGCGAGGCTGCCGAGCACTGGCGCCACCGGTCCCTCCGACCACCACCAGCAGGCAACGTGGGTTAAATGTCTTGCCCAAGGAGCGAGCACTTAACTCCTGTGCCACCGTCGCCCATATATATGTTATGTCCAGTTTTGTTGGAGACCTTCCATTGAGCTGTGGACAAATGAAACATCTAAGTTTACACCAATAAAAAACGTAAAAGTGTGAATTTTAGAAAAGGATGTTCTATTGCACGGGATTGACCAGAACTGCAAAAATACGTGTTAATTTTGTTTATAGTTTTGTGTACGGATGGACATCAATATCGGTATCGGCCGATGTTAGTCATTGTTTAACATATCGGTATCGGCTCGATAAATTAACCCGGGCCAATATTAACTCATTCACTGCCAGTGACGACTAAAGTCGTCATTTTAGATCCAACCGTTCACTGCCAATTTTGCATTTTTTTTACTGTTTGAGCATCGGAACGAGCCCCCGCGCTGAGAGAACAAACATCTCAGCCCTGAAGCCGATCTTCATCCGCATACGTCACAGATCAGATGATCAGGAAGCAACACATCCATGTGTTAGGAGATAGTTTTGGGCCGTTCCGGTAAAAAAAAGTGAGGCGCGAACCGGAAAAGCGTCTGCCGATCACAATTCGACAACGGATTATGAAAGAACGGATAACGCTCGAAACACGCGGACTCTTCCTGATGTAAGAGGTGAGTCTCCTCTTTGTTTTGGTTGTTTTGGCGTCGACATCATGCTAGCACGCAACGTTCTGTGACTCTTAAAAAAAATGTAAAAACTGTGAGAAACGCTGGCAGCGAATGAGTTAACAACCGATATTTTTTCCATCTTGACTCCATTTGTTTGCCTGTTTCGTGGGGGGGGGGGGGGGGGGGTTTGTTTAGTGGCTGTTCATGTGAGCAGTGAATGAAATCTTCTCAGAACCATGAATGTATGTGTGTGTGTGTGTGTGTGTGTGTGTGTGTGTGTGTGTGTGTGTGTGCATACTAACATAAATTCATTCATTCTATACAAAATCTGCTGATTTTAGAAGCATTAATGTCAGTATATCGGTATCTGCAAATATTGGTCATCGGCCATAACAGTGATCTTATTATCGGATATCGGTATCAGCCCATAAATTTCATATCGGTGCATCTTTAGTTTGGTGTTTATTTTTCAAATCAACAAGACCAATCAAATTCATTAAAGACGCCGTTTGAACACCTTAGTGTGGATGTAGGATTTAGGGACCATTTGCTTCGTCTGGAGTAAGATAAATGTCACTCCTGCTTTGGTGAATACAGTAACTTACCATAAATGCTCCACGTGTCCAGTTTCATGGATTTAATCTTTTATTTTTTTCTAGTTTTATTTCAATAAAAATGATCAAAATGAAAAGAGGGGTAAAAACTCTTTAATGAGACACAAAGAAAGCTGATGTAGACGCTAGGCGACATACAAGGTGCACACCAGGTGCAATCAGTCAGCATCAAACAAAGCTACATGATAGATAAAGGGAGCAGATTTCTAACTCAGTACAAAACACATCATTTCAGAGCAGTTCATCTCTCCATGGACACAGATGTGAAATTGCATATTGTCAGCGCTGCCAGATTAATAAATGAATCACATTCAAGAGCCATCACTGTCCTCGCTATCGTAGCATCGGTTCCTTTTGATCTGCTCCTCCACCGTCAGGCCTTCATCATCCTCCTTCTGAACGGAATCGTCACGCCTCTGTTCTGCGGCGGGGCCATCGCTGCTCTCATCTTTCTCCCTCACACCTCTCGTCGGTAGCCCGAAATCCAAATGGTCGTCCAGCGCAGACGCCGCCGGCCTCCCCCCAGCTGACTGACTGAAGACGTCTGATTTGAAATCTGATAGCAGAGCGGAGCTGCCGGCGCTCAGGCCGGCGAAAATATCCTCAAGGAAGCTGGATGTGCCAATCTCTGGCTCAGTGGCTGTGTGCTTCAAAGTGAGCTTTCCCTCTAGAAAGAAATTTGTGTCTGAACAGCAGTCTGTGGCCTCGGTGTGTTTGGCATCTGCTAGCATAAAAGCATCATCTCTCTGTGCCAGATGAAGCACTTCACTTGGCATCCATTCCGATTCTTCACAGGGATCGGATTGGGAGAAATCTGTTGCTCTAATTGCATCTGTCTCAGAAACCGAAGGGTCTATCTGCAGCTCAGACTCCGCGAAGCCCAGATCTAAGAGTTCTAGGTCAACTAATGCCTGGTTATTGTTATTGTTATTATTATTGTTGGAATTTTCATTCACTGCCGGCGCTTGTGTCGTATCCTCATCTATCAAAGTGACCTTCACCGCCTCCCCGTTCTTCATGCTTTCATCCGGATGGCTCTCCTGTTTCAGTTCCGTGTTTTTGACCTCTTGTCCGTCGTCTTGAACCTCCTCCACCTTTAATGGACTTTTGCCTTCTTTTCCCGCCGCACTCCCTCCACCTCCACTTACAATCTCTTTGTTTTGCTCCTTCTCTCCCACTTCAACATGCAGTACAGGGTCCACTTCAGAGCTCCCCTGTGCCTCAGAGTCATCATGCACTCGAGTATGGGAGGCACTTGCTGGTTCCTCGGCCATCGCTAGACGCGCGGTCGGGACGTCAGACGTCTCTTTAGGCTGTTTGTCGTTTTTCGATATCCCTTCATCCTTCTGCATACTGTGAGCTTCCTTGGGTCCATTTAATTCTTCAGCACCACTTTCTCTAGAAGAAGGCTTCACCGGTTGATGCAAATGGTCATTTTCTTGGGGTGAGTCCTCTTTAGGAGGCCACAACGGCTTTACCAACTTTAGCTCCTCCTCAACGGTAAAGGTTTTCTTTGGAGAACCAACTTGTGGAGGCCACACTACTGAAATCTTACTCGTGGGCTTTTTGTTCTCGTCCACCAACTTGGTTACGTCGCTCTCGTGAATGGAGGTATATTTGAAATCTATAACTTTCTTTTCAGTTGCTGGTGACTTCACTGCTGAATTTGTTTGGTTCTTGTTGTTCCAAAGTTCTTTGTGCGGTTTTTGTCCAAATCCCTCGTCGTAATTCCCTTTGGACTTGAAAAGTTGCTTGTAGTGTGGTTTGCAGTACATTCGTCCATGGAGAGAGGCGTAGTTACCGAGGCTGTTGAAAGACAAGGAAAGGTTAAAATCCTTTAAAGTGGCGGGAAAAAGGAAGTATTTGGCGTTGTAAGGAGGCGCCACCTTAGTTTGCCTTTGCAGTGGTCACAGCGAAAGCAGCCTTTATGGAAGTTTTGTTTGTCTGCGATCAGCGACTCCATGGGGTACACCCTCTTCCGACACACCCTGCACAGTTCGGACTCTGGAATTTGAATTTTCTGCCAAAAAAAAGAAAAATAATACATTTTACACACATTTTATGAGTTAAACTCTGGAACAAACCACTGACACAAATAGAAATAGCAAGTCAAGTTTAGTTAATTGTTCAGGAAAAAGCCATAGGGTTCTATGTAATGAATTATTGCAAATACTTGTTAATTGTTTTTTTTAAATGGAAACAACAACAAAAAAACTGACAGCAGTAATCCACCTTTGATCTTGGCCTTGTTGTGACTGGTTGTTAGCTTGACAGGCTAGTCAATATTAATCTCTATTTCTCCAAACTGAGGCTGTTTAAAAAGCCATCTACTACATGTAAGATTTAAACACTCAACAGAAACCTACTTCAATCAGAAAAAAGTCCTTTTAATGACTAATAGTTTTTGGTTTAGTTGGTGCATTTTTAGATGTATCCATGCATACTTATATTTTATTAACATTATTACCTTAATAGTAATGAATTGTACAAATATATCAAATGTTTTGTAAGGAACTTTTTACTTTCATAAGTGGAGACACAAAGCGACCCTTTAAGTTATTTCCTTAGTAACTAAGACCTACATGATTGGAACCAATAAATTAATTGATCATGAATAATAATGATATTGTCAAAATGAACCTATTTGTGGTATTTTGACACTATTTATTGACTTTGTTGGAGTTTTATGAATTTTGTATCGTCACATGGTACGAGAATGGGCCATTGAATGGATGCTACACCTAGCATGCAATGGTGAAAAAAGTATATTTTATATATATATATATATATATATATATATATATATATATATATATATATATATATATATATATATATATATACATATTATATGTATATATGTGTGTATATATATATAATATGTATATATACACATATATACATGCATATATACATATGTATATATGTGTGTATATATATATAATATGTATATATACACATATATACAAATGTATATGTATATGCATGTATATGTGTGTGTATATATATACACACACATATACATGCATATATACATATGTATATATGTGTGTATATATATATATATATATATATATATATATATATATATATATATATATATATATATATATATATATATATATATAATATGTATATATACACATATATACAAATGTATATGTATATGCATGTATATGTGTGTGTATATATATACACACACATATACATGCATATATACATATGTATATATGTGTGTATATATATATATATATATATATATATATATATATATATATATATAATATGTATATATACACATATATACAAATGTATATGTATATGCATGTATATGTGTGTGTATATATATACACACATATACATGCATATATACATATGTATATATGCATGTATATGTGTGTATATGCATACATACATACACACACACACACACACACACACACACACACACACACACGCGGGTGTGTGTGTGTGTGTGTGTGTGTACATATATATAAAGATATAAAGTATGTATATGTGAAGAGTATGTTTAGTTTACTTTGGCACTTTATTTCTTAAAAAAAAATGTGTTCAGTTTATTGAGCCAAATGAGTGAAAACAAGTTTTTGATATTGTCTTCATTAATGGTAAACATTAAATGTTTTGAATAAGAAAAAAACCAAAGGAGTAATCAGTGATTTTCAGTAAACTATCTTTTTGACTGTTAACATTTTTTTATATTTAATTATCACAAAAAATATTAATTTATAATAAGTAACAGCAAAAATAATTCATTAGTACGAGTGTGTCAGTGCAAAAGTTTCCTTTCAGGTGCCTAAAAGAAAAATGTTCTGAGAATAAAAATAGATTTTCTACCGACGACTTGTCCTTGAAGTCCCGAGTGCACTTTCAGCTGTCTGGAAAACTAATTCAGGAATAAATATTTACTAAAACATTTAAGTTCTTTTCATACTTGCTGGAGAAATTTCATGCAAAGCTAATCATCACCGCACACCCATGAATTAGTGGAATGTGTTAGCGTCACTGGCACATCACACATCAGAGGCATGAACAAACAGAACAAAGTGCAACCTGTGAATAACAAAAGCTGTGAAACTGACACTTCCTGGAATGCACGATGCTCCGAAGTTTCAAGGAAAACTTCAGATAAAAGTCAACAAAGAGAAGCAATGAGAATCCTTCCAGTTTTAGCTTGCAGGCGATGCCTTCAAATCCCATCACAGACAGCGAGTTAAACACACGACATGCCTGTTTAGTGTCCTCATGCCGCACCGCTCCGTTTACCCGCCACAAAGGTCTCCTGCTGGTGCGTTACGACCTGTGAAGTCCTCTGTTCTGTGACGCTAAATCTCAGGTTCTGGAAAACTCCTTGGCTCTCGGCCCATGACTGCTGGAAGTTCCTCAGCAGTTCCTCTGTAGAGGCCTCGGGTGGCACAGGGACAGCTGGAACGCTTCCCCTCACAACATCTGCGTAGGACGGAGGGCTACCTCGAATCATAGAGCTCCCAGAATGCACCTCACTCCTCGTCTCTCTTGTCACGCTTCCCAAGTTGTCGTAGCTGCAGAATTGCTCAGTGACTGAAGTTGTTTCTGAGTGATGCGCTGGTGCAGAATGGGCCGATTCAGGTTCTCTTCTCTCTATTTGTTCTCTAAGTTCTCTGGCTGCCTGAGAACCGTGCTCTCCTGTCTCAAACACGTCCTTTATGGCTTTCACGGTGAATATTGGAATCTCTTCCGATCTTGGACTGTGGACCTCCACTTCCGCATCTTCTGTGTCACTCCCCAGCCTCTCCGATATCACAATGGGCTCTTTTCTCGTGTACACTTTTGGTTGAGGAGACTCAAATTTGTTCACAAGTTTGGTTAAATCAACTCTTGGTAGATCCTCTCGCAGAAGGTCAATGGCTACGGCCTCACCGGCGTCCTCTGCATCAGGTCCGAGACGTTCAGGGATGTCAATCGGATCTTTCCGGATGTACGTTTTGTTCACCTCGGCCTTCTGCGCCTCCTCAAAGAAACTCTTTTTGTCTTTAACTGTCATCATGGAGTCCACCATCTCCATGACATCCGTTGACCCATGCTCACACCTATCAGTGGGAGTTTCCCTGTCGTCAAACGGGGAAGACTGCTCCCTTTCAGCAGCCAAACACTCCGGCGCCGGCATGGGAGGAGGTGGGGTCATTCCACGGGAAAGCTTGGCGGTGGTATCCCTCAGTTTCATCAGTTTGTCTGAGCGGCTGAGGGTGGGAGACGGCGTGGCCCTGCTGAATGTAGGTGTGTATGATTTACGAGGTGGCGGTGGGGGTGTCCCTACTGACTTGTAAGGTGGAGGAGACGGAGTCACTCTCAAGGGTGACTCGATTCTCCTCGATTCAATCGTGATATAAGTAGGCGAGGGCGTGCGGATGCTAGCTAACGGAGAGGATATTCTCTGAGCGGGCGCGTCACTTAGGTCGTGAGCGCTTTTAGTTTCGTGAAGTAACCTTTTCTCTTCCTTCTTCTCTGTTTTGGACGAGGCTATGCTAACCGTTGATGCCTTCGAAGTCGCCCCAGCGAGCGGTTTCTTGTCTGGGGTGGTAGGTACCTTTGGCGCCTCCTCTTTCATCTCCTTTTCCACAACGCTTTTCTCCAAACTGGTGACTTTTGTTTGAATGATACTTTTCATATAAGCCAGCATCTCTTTCAGCTTTTTCTTGCTTTGCCGTTTAGCAAGTTCGCCTAGATTCTTTTTCTCCTCCAAGCCCATTACCCAAGCAGGGACTTCCTGTATGACGGCCATGACGGTGCTGGAGTCTATTCTGCTCGGCGTGCCCTCCAGCTCTTTTAGTTGAACAACTAGCTTCTGCATCGCAGTGCATTTCTCTTCAGCCGACGTCTCCTCTGACTGAGCCTCATCTTTATGGGTCGTTTTGCTCGTACCTTTGAGCGCCGCGTCCTTCGAGTCAACTTTGGACTTTTCTGCCTTATGTGTCTCTTTTGCGTGTAGCCTGGTTTGCTGCTGCTGCACATGAACGGCCTCTTGCTTCTGCTGAAACACTCTCTCAGTGACAACAACCTCCTCGTGCCTCTGGATGTGCTCCGCCTTCACGCTTTGATGACTGTGGGACGCCAAAACAAGGTCCTGCCCTTGATGAGTCGGCACAGATGCTATCTTGGTCATCTTAGCTCCTGAAACGCTAACTGATGACGACGGCTTTATTTCCGCCTCCTTTTTTTGCACCTGCTTTCCCCTTTTCGCCTGAGCCTTCACTTCCACCTCCGTCATCGGTGACGACACCTGGATTTTATTCTCTTTAACTTCTGTTTTCATCTCGGTTCTCGCCGCAGTCAGCCGACTGCTTTCCAAATCGACTTTTGATTCAGCTTTCTGCGACGCCATACCTTTTTCCTGCTGTGAATGTGTTTCGCTTTTTATTATTCCCGTCTGCCCAGAACTGTCAGACTTCTCTTCATTCTTCTCTGTTGGCATCTTAAACGTTTTCACTTTGAAACTCGGAGTTACCTTTGGAATTTTAGTGGGCTGAGAGGGACCGGTTTTCACCTCCTGCGACAGAGGCACATTATTATTCTTTACGTCCTCCGTTTTCAGTGTGACCGCGGGCTGGCTTTGAAGATTTACGTCGTCCTGGACGGCGCTGTGTGTGGCAGTGATGGACCTGCTGCTGGACGTCTTAATAAACCGCTGCTGCTCCGTGACTGAAGAAGCGACCACGCTCGAGCATGACTGCATTTCCTTTTCTGAGGCCTGATGACAAGACTGAGATCCAGAAACGCCGGCTGAGGGTGGGGCTTTTTCACACGCTTGCTTTTGATCGAAGGACACTTTTGAAGATGCAGAGGTGGACTTTTTATTCACGACGGAGATCGAGGGTTTGCTCAGAGGGATTTGGGAAGGGCATTTCTTGGCAGGTGCCTCCTTTACTAATATTTCATCTTGACTTATGACTTTTGTCATCACTTCTTTCTCAGTGTTATCTGCTGCAGACGGCTCTGCACCAGCAGCAGGTGATTGTGTACTGAGCGGTGGTGAAGTGGGAGTAGAAGCTGTACTTTTGTCTGTTTCCTCTTTCTCCTGCATCTGTTGACGATACCGTTCCTCTGCGAGCATGAGAGGCGTTTTGAATTTGCGAGCGAAGGGTTTCGCCTTAGGAGCTGGAGCTGGGTCAGGAGGTGAGGGCAGTTTAAGGGGAGGAGCAAACACTTTTTTGGGTGGTTGTGGGCTTTGTTTTAGCTCTGGTTTAATCACTGGGGTGCTTGGGATTCTCGTTGGTGACACTGCTACTGTTTTTGTCTGGCTAACCATCTTGGTTTGTAGGACTTTTTCGTGTTTTGCCTCCTGAACTTGAGTTTCCTCTTTACTTGATGCTGGTGCTGATGCTTCTTGGCCAGGAGGAGGCTGAGAGGAAGCCGGAGGAGGAGCTGGTTGCTTTTTTTGCCACTTGGGTTTAACTTGGAGCTGCTTGGGTGGCTCCGGCTGCTTGGCCTCTTTAAACAAATGTTTACCAAAAGGCTTTCCTTGCTTTGCAGGAGGAAGCTGAGGTAACGCATTGAGCTCTTGCTGTGATGGAGGTGGAGGGAGAAAATCCTGTCCACCTGCAGAGGACAGTGGAGGGGGCGGAGGTGGGAAAAACTCAGGCTCAGACTTTACGCATTCCATGGGTGGAGGAGGCGGGGGAGGTGGGGGAGGCAGATCACTGTCCTCCCTCATGATAAGAAGCCTGGATGTGGGTGATGCGGGGCTCTCTGTCACTGGAGATGGCGGCGGGGGAAGCGAGAACTCCGACTCAGAGGGCGGAGGTGGCGAGGAGGGTGGAGGGGGGAAGTGAATCTCAGGTGTGGCCTTTTTGACCGCTCCCTTCCCTTTAGTGTCGAGGTTCCGATATTCACTCTTCAGGTTTTTGATGCTCTGCTTCTGAGCGAGCACCTTCTGCTCTGAGACGGTCTGCACCACCGTCTTCTCCGTCGCTGCAGTCAGCACCTGTTTGCTTGTTTTCGTCTCGCGTATCTGTTTGCTCGAGACGTTTGTCTGCGTTGTGTTTTGCACCCCTTTCATCAGAGCCGCGTCGACAGCTTTACTCTCTGTTTGATCATGAATGGTCTTTTGTGTGTTCTTTATCGTAATAGGCTTAGGAGCTTGTACTTTCTGTGGGGGCACCACTTTGTCCTTCTGTTCTTCTCCGCTCTTCTGATGAGAGGCCCCGGCAGGATTGCCTGTTTTGACTACAGCGACAGAGTGGTCCTCTTGAGTTATTACCTGCGTTTTCACAGATTTGCTTTCATGGTGCCTCTGTGACTCACTGCTCTGTGAGAGGTTTTTCACCACGGGGGCTGCAGCGAGTGCTACTTTCTCACTCTGCTCCTCATGCATGCTTTCATGCTCCATTTGCTTTACAGTTGATGGATTTTTCATGGGCATTTTTGCCTTCTTAGGAGGATGCACACGTTTCTTGTTTGAATACTGCTTCTTCTGCATCAGGCACTTTATAGCACCCTGAACATCTCCCTTAACAACCTCTTCTTTTTCCACCTGTGTTGTCTCCTGCCCCTCGTAAAGACATTTAATGGACGTTTTCACGTCTCCTTCAACGCTGCCTCTGCGTTGAGATCTCGGCGAAGTGGTTGGCTCGAGCAAAAGCTGAATGGTGGCTTTAACGTCCCCTTGTTCGCTGACTTGGTGCTGATAAGTCTTTTTCTCACTCGTGGCCTCGTGTAAACTCTGCATGGCCGTGTGAATATCTCCTCTGACAATCTCCTCTTTTGCCATCTCTTTCACCACTTGTTTCGCCTCCTCCAGGGATTTCAGGGTCCCTTTGATATTTCCCGGAACTAAATCTTCAACACTTGCGTCCGTTTTGGCAGTTGCAGATTTCTCCAGTGACTGAAGGGCACCTCTGATGTCTCCTCTGATAATTTCAGGCTTTTCCATTTCCTTGGCTTGATGCTTTGCCTCTTCGAGGAACTTCAAAGTCATTGGTATGTCCCCTTTCACCACCTCTTCTTTCTCTATGATCACTTTCTGATTGATAGCCTGGGACAGTGAATCTAAAGCTGCACTAAGGTCACCTTTAACAATGTCTTTCTCCAGGTTTCGGTACGTAACATTGGGCTCTGCCATGAACACCTTGACAATGCCGTCTACGTCTCCTGGAACGATGTCGTCCTCTGCCACAGTGCGGCCTATCTGCTGCTGATTCTTCCTTAACAAAATCTTTGTTTCTTCAATGTCGCCACCTATGATGCTCTCCTTTTGCACCTCTACTTGAGTTTCCTCAGACTGAAACTGTTTGAGATAATCCAAGGCCCCTGACTCAATGCACGTAGTGTAGAAGCTAACATTTCCTCTTTCCGTGTCTCCGACCCGTATCTTTTTAGGATCATCTTCTCCTGAGTTGGAGAGTAGACGCTGAAGTGTCTTGCTGACGTTCCCTTGAATTATTTCCTCCTTCCCCATGCTGACGTTCTCCTCCTTGTTCAGAAGCGAATAGATCGTCATCCTCACATCGCCTTTTTCATCTTCCTGAATCAGAATCCCACGCTTGGAGGAGCCTTCATTCTTGAGCAGGTTGCTCATCGCCTCCTGGATGTCCCCGCGGATAATCGCTTCTTTCTCAACATTCATTTCTTTCTCCTGGTTGAAAAGCCGCTTCACTGTGGTGTTAATGTTCCCTCGTTCCTGCTCGTCAACCGTTACGACCCTTTCAGTGGTCTCCCTGTTGTTTAGAAGGTTCATCATGATGTTGCTCAGATCTCCTCTAATGATCTCTTCTTTTTGGATTTGCGGAGCCTCTTGGTTCATGAGTTTGTACTTTGCCATGCGGACGTCGCCGATTTCATCTGCCTCAATGAGAATACCCTGTGAACTGACCATTTTCTGGCAGTAAAGCTCCTCGAGAGTCTCTTTAACACTCTTACCAATAATTTCCGTTTTCTCCACGCTGCTCTCGTTGAACTGGTTTAACGGAGTGGTTTCAAAAAGCCATGTGGTCATCTTTACATCGGCCTGTGGGATCTCCTCCTTTGCCACGACAGTCTGTGTGCCACCACACTCTTTGATTGTGTCAAGGGGGTTCTTCTCAAAAAGCCACACAGACTGCTTGACATCACCTTTCATCACCTCCTCTTTAGTAACTCTCTCCATGCCGTCGTACTCTTCGCCGTCGCCTCGAATTTCATCGATCGTGCGGGTTTCGAACATCCACGTGGCGGATCTGACGTCGCCTTTTTGGATTTCGCTCACACTCACCGTTCTGACGTACTTTTGAGACATCTCATCGGTCTCGAATCTCTGCTTATTTGTCTTCACATCGCCGCCTTGAATGTCTGCTACTATCCTCGACCTCACTTTGATGTCTTCTGTTATTTCATCAATAGGTTGAGTTTCAAACCTCCAGCGGGCAGAGTTAACGTCTCCTTTGTTAATACCTTCCTCCGTCACAGCTTTAATAACGTAGACCTCTTCTGAGTCTCTAATCGAATCCAGGGGCTTTGTCTCAAACAGCCACCGTGCCCCCACCACGTCCCCTCTCATAATTTCTTCTTTGGTAACCGTGGTTACTTCATGATAATGGCCCTCCTTATCCCGGATGGCGTAGAGTGGTTGAGTTTCAAACATCATGGTGTAATTTTTGACATCTCCCTTCTCTGTGTCTTCTCTAAAGATGCTAGTGAGTTTCGATACGTCCGTTAGAGAGGACTCCTCTCTGATTTTATCTAGAGAATAAGTCTCAAAAGTAAAACGCCCCTTGTTGACGTCACCGCCCTGGACATCGGTCACGGTCCGAACCTCCCTCGCCTTCGTGATATCATCAGTGATGGCATCGATTGGCTGATTTTCAAACATCCAGGTACAATTGACCACGTTCCCCTTCTGGATGTCCTCGGCCTGCTGCTTCTTCAGCCGCTGCATCGTTTCCTCTGAGGTGGAGCTCATGATGTCAGAGGAGCGATTCTCAAAGATGTACTTCATCCTGGAAACATCACCTGACTGGACGTCGATCTCTGTGACTCTCCTGAAAGAGCCGCTGTCCTCGCTCACAATGTTCTCCAGGTTCTCCGTTTCAAACAGGAAGCGAGCCATTTGCACGTCCTTTCCCTGAATGTCCTCCTGCTTTACTGTGCAGGTTTTCAGAATCGTCTCACTCTCTGTGTGGTCACGAATGTTGTCAAGCGTCTGCGTCTCAAAAAGCCAGGTGCATGTTTTCACGTCACCTTTTTGCACTTCCTCCATGTCGGTCTCGCTCTTTTCCACCTTTTCGTACAGAACGTCCATCGGCTGGGTCTCAAAGAGCCACCTACAGGTTTTCACGTCCCCTTTCTCAATGTTGACGTATTCTTTAGTTTTGTGTTCTTCCTCCTCAACATTACTGAAGAACTTAATGGCATCGAGTGGTTGAGTTTCAAACAGCCACTTGGCTGTTTTGACGTCTCCAGACTCAACCTCCTGTTTGGAAATTCCTTTTATGATCTGGAATTTGTTGATGCTTTCGTCGAACTCGTCGATGGGGCGTGTTTCAAACATCCACCTGCAGCTGCGCACATCCCCCTTCACAATCTCCTCCCGCCTCACCGTCTTCACCTCGTGATAATGGCCAGAGCTGTCCTGCATGGCGTACATTGGGGCTGATTCAAAAAGTTCTCTGTTGGACCTAACAGAACCACTTTGAACACCTTCAACTTGGATTTTCTTTGTTCCTTCACATTTACTCAAATCCATAGTTTCAAACCTCTCTTTATAACTGATCACATCTCCTTTGTCCAGCGCTTCGATGTTGACCGTTTTTGTAATTTCCTTCTTCTCCTCTCTTATGCTTTCTAGCGGCTGGCTCTCAAAGACCCACTTCTGATGCCTTACATCCCCCTTCTCTTCTTCAGATGTTACCATTTTCTGAAGTTTTCCCACTTCAGGCAGCTCTTTCAGATTTTCCATGGGTACTGTTTCAAATAAATGCTTGGCTGATCGAACGTCACCCCCTACAATCTCCTCCACGACCGACGGTCGTGCATTGGTGTTATCCTTCAGTGTGTCCATTGGCTGAGTCTCAAAAACAAGACAGTGCTTCCTCACATCAGCTCCAACAACCTGTTCTTTTTGCTTTCTGGAGCACTCCCATTCCTCATCATTGATGGTGTCAAGTGTCTTTGTCTCAAAAAGCCACCTGCCCTTGTTCACGCCTCCTTGAAAGTCGTTCTCCATGGAAATGCCACATATCAGCTTTACCTTGGTAGGGTCTTTGTTGATCATGTCTAAAGCCTGGGTTTCAAACATCCACCGTGAGGTCTTCACGTCTCCCTTCTCCGTCTCCTCCCTGCGGATTGTGGTGATTTCCAGCATCTCTCCCGAGTCTCCTCTGATGACACACATGGGCTGCGTCTCAAACCTACAGGTGGTCATCTTCACCCCGCCTTTAACCTCTTCCAGCTCCGACTTCAAGCTCAGGAAGTGATTCTCCTCGATGGTTTCTGTTTTACCCAGGGAATCCAGATGCTGGGTCTCAAAGAGGTACCTGGCGGTTTTTACATCACCACCAGTGATGTCTTTAGTGACAACGCAGCGCATCTCCTGTTCATCTTCTTGATAAATCCTATTTAGGCAATCCAGCGGCTGAGTTTCAAAAAGCCAGGTTGCGGTACGGACATCTCCTCTTGCCAGGTCCGTCTGTTTCTGAGAATGCTCGGTGTCCTCTGCAGCCTCGGTCCCGAGAGCGTCCATGGGCTGAGTCTCAAACATCCAAGCTGTATACCTGACATCCTTGCCAGCAATGATTTCCTGTTGAGCAATATTCTTCCCCTCACTTTCATCTGGGGAATCGTCTTTGATTGCGTCTAAGGGCTTGTTTTCGAACATCCAGCGCATTGTTTGCACTTCACCTTTGAGGATCTCTTCCCACTCCAGGTATTCGCTGTCGGGGCTTGAGCATTCACCGGAGCTGTTGTCGTCATTTTCAAACATGTGGCACACCTGCTGGACATCACCTGTCGTCTCTGCGCTCTCAAATGCTGCCTTTTCTGCTTCAGAGAGCTGACTCATAAAATCTTCCTCAAGGTTTTTGCGCACTTCTGGATGTATGTGCTTGTAGAGGCGCTTCAGCTCAGCCATGCTCTTGTGTTTGAAGTACTGCTCCTTATTAAAAGTGCACTTCTGTTGGGAGGTCTTCTCCTGAGACTGAGAAGAGTATTCAGAGACTTCTTGTGACAGCTGAGGCAGGTCTGCCGGCGGGGGAGGGAAACGTTCTGTTGCCTCTTGATTCAGAGATGAGGTGGATGCTACAGACGAAGCAGCCATTGTTTTAACGGTGGACGAGGTGTTGTAGCTAGACGCAGTGGACATTTTGGACGACTGGTTAACCGGGGCCCACTGAAACTGGCTGAAATCCACATCAACCTTTGGTTTACACATTAGTCCAGTCGTGGGGAAATGAAGGAAGGAGAGAATTGTTAGAAAATTCTGATCAGTTCTCTTTGGAAATCCTAAAGGAAAGACAACAGAAGCTGAAGGTAATTTAAGATGCAAGTTTTGATATAAAAACTTCTATTTCAGATGTAAAATCAACTCTAATTAGGACGTGAATGCATTCAAAACAGTAAAAACTACACATTTTTATCCAAACGCTCTCATAATTACAGTCTTGATTGAAATATTTGCTAAACTGTAGGCAGTAATGGTAATTCTTGTAATTCAGTGATTATCTTTGTGCAAAAGGTTGCAGCTTCTGCCTGTTTTATGACAAGAGCTTCAAATGTCTTAACCAATCCAATTTAGCCCCACACCAGCCCGCGGCACGCACAATTTCCTTTTGATGATTTCCTGATGTGGCCTCATCTTCGTACTGATGCGCCATCAAAAAACACACAAACTATGATCTTTTTAGATAAACAGACAGGATCATTACCTTCACTGCCTTCGCTGGTGCAGCTTCCTCAATCGTTTTTTCATACTGCTGCTTCAAAGCCTGAGTGGAAACCTTTGGTAGGTCCTCCCCTCCAACAAGCATAACTGAATTAGACACAAGAAGAAGGCTGCCTCATTAAGTCATTCAAAGTGAGGAGGCTCAGGGGAATAGGAAAAGGAAATAAATCATTTCATTAAAAACCCGAGTAGTTTTCGTTTTCTGAAACCATGCAGCTGTGATTGCCCAATTTCCACTCCCCAACATTCCACCTTCCTGACTTTGCCCTTATTAGATTTGCTGCTGTGAGCTGAATAGGAAATCATCTGCTCTGTAACGCCTTTACCGAGCTCATCCCTTATTCTGCCCCATAGCAGGAATGATCATTAATATACAGGACACAAGCGGCGCTGTGTTAAAAACGTAAAAATTACAATATAAAAGGCATGAGCAGCATCACCTGTCTCACTGGAATGGTTCCTATAACTGCTGGCCACGGTGCTGTGGTGGATCACCTGTAGAAAAGATGGCAGAAGATCTTTAATGGACGCTAACTTGTTTTTAATCAGTCACAAATGACAAGCTTTGCATTAACTTGATTTAATTGAGTTTAGAAGAAAAAAATTATTCTGAGGATGCTTGGAAGTGTGCAGCTGTTTTCTGAAATTATAACATCAAATTTGTCCAGTAAGGCCCAAGAACAATTTGGAAATTAGATTTGGGAATGTGTCAGGTGATGAAAGCTAATGTTAGCCTAATGCCGTTTTCGCTCCAAACGTGAGCGGACCTCAGCAGAAAGCTCTTTATTACTGGAGAGTTTGACCCAAACTTGGGAGAGGGGACAGTTTCAGAGCTCAGTGTAGAAGGATAGTTTTCAGAAGTTCTTGCAAAGGTGCAATGACATCATCACTCTCTATTGGTTGGGCATAGCTTAAAGGTAAAATGTTCAAAATCTGTGATTTTGTACAAGTGTTAAAGATACAAGCTCAGTTATCTCAAGTCCAACTTTCCATGATCCTTTTAAACTTTAAATGATGTAAAATCTGTTATACACAGAGTATATAATAAAGATACAAAGTTTCAAATAAAAACAATAATAATGATAATCTGAATTCCACTGCGGTTTCGGCGGAAATTGTTGTTTCACAAATTTTGCCTAAGATTCTGCTACCTAACGTGACAGCCCAGATTTTCCAATTAAGACATATTTTCTGTACGAAATAAACATTTTAATGTCTCTCTCTTTAAAGTAACACTAAATATGTTTTCTAAACTTTAAGCTGGAGCTTTGACCAGTATCATATTGGTCACTGCTGCCCTCTGCTGGCCAAATACTGCACTTAGTTTTGTGGAGTAGGTAGGTGTTCTAAAGCTTGGTTTATGCTTGACGCCTCCGCGAGGTTCGCACGGCTCCGCGTGGCACAATAGCGTCATTTTAACAACCACCTCCTCCACCGCGCCTCCGCATGGCCAAAATTTTCCGCATTGTGCACCTAGGAAATTTTCTAACCACGCGGACGGTCGGACGCGGAAAAACATGGCGGACTGGCAAGAACTAGTATGGCAGAGGTTCGTAAATACAGACATTTGTATGATTCAGCTCTCAAAGATCACCGTGATCAACATGTTGTTAATAATTCTTGGAGAGAAATAGCTCGCACTGTCGGAAAAGACGAGGACGCTGTTAAAAAATGCTGGAATGCCATGTTGTAAACAACAGTAATTTTTACTTCTACTATGGTGTAGTGTTGGATGCATGCCGTAGAGCTCCATGCTGCCCCCTACAGTTTGGGAGAATATTGGCTCACTGCAGAGACAAGCCGCGTGAACCATAAACGCTGCAAGTTGTGAAGCGCGTTCCATCCGCGAGCCGCATCACCAAGCGGAAAGTAAGTGCGTCAAGCATAAACCAAGCTAAATGGGGGAATCTCTTTACCTGCTTTAAAGGAGTCATCACCTGAAATTCTCACTTTTCCACTTGAATAAGTATATATAATGGCTTCCTAATGATTTTTCACGGTTTCGGGAAGCCCATATTTATGCTTTGCTTCTTCAACCAGCCCACGTGCACTCCACACGCATGCGCACTCCAAAACAAAATCTTGATTTCTGGCCCTGATGCTGTCACAAAGGCAGGATGTACAGTACCATATATGGACAGCACAGAGCAACGCAGCCATAGATCGCACGGCTTCGCTTCCCCCGTGAAATTGGGAGAATAGAAAATGTCGAAGCGAGTTTCACATGTGAGCTGCTCAGTTGTTGACTGCCAAACTCCTCACATAAATGAGTTTGTTTTACCAAAATCGGACCACTCTACCAGGAACACGTGGATTGATTTTATTTTTAGTGGTGCTGTTCTCAAAACTTTCCCCACTAGTATTGGTGTCAGTGCTAGCCATTTTAAGCCAGAATGCAAAAAAACATTTGGGGCAATAAGAGGTGAAGATGGCATCGAGGATTCTTCTAGAAAGAGGGGCCATTCCAACATGAGAAACTTGCCTGAAATTCAAACGTTTAGGCAGAAGTATGTTATTTTGGAGAGAGATCCTGAAGCGAAATCTACGGTGCCAACACCCCTCAACCAATCAATGCGCCTCTCGTTTGCATTATTATAATGTCTGCTTAAATGTCGCGTGTGCTCTCGCGAGAAAACTTTTCCTTTACAAAAGGGGATAGAAAATCACTTTTTATTTTATTTTTCCAAAACAAAATATTTTTGACTATAATTTGATGTAGACGTCCATGGTAGTAACTTTAAGGTTGTTAGCTGTTATGCGAGCAGTTAGCTTTTTCAGTTCACTGATTGTCAATAAAAGCACAAAAAGAAAAAAGTAGCTTTTTTGTTGGAATTATGATGGAGTCTGGAAGTTAAAGTAAGAGAGTAATGTCTTTGTAGGCAAAGGAAAGAGCTAATACTAGAGTGAACATCAGCATGATCTACACTAGTTTGAGGAAGCTAAAAGAGGCTACAAAACCACGGAATGATGATGACCTGGCTTTGTTGCCACTGGACTTGTAAGTAATAATATATTTTGTCCAACAGTATGGATCTTTTTACTTTGTGGTTTATTTCAGTATTAGCTGGCTCACGTAAGTGTTAGCTAGTTGTTATCGCAGTTGTGATTCCACTTTCAGCAGGCACAGGACCCCATCTAGAGGTGGAAAAATGTGTTACAACTTTAAGCACTTTTCCGCACTTCCGTGCTTACGGCTGTAAACGATGCCTCTTGTTCGTGAATGCACACCTTTGGCCAGTCAACTGAGACAAAACACATTGTTTTACAGTTAATGTTTTCATGTTATGCTCTTTATTTAAAGAGATATCTACAAATGTCGTCTCGTAGCGCCTCGCTAACAATTTACAATGCTCAAGTCAAATTTCAACGGGGCTCTACAGGTGGGCCTGGCAAAAAAAACAAGCTGCTGCTTCAATATGAGCCACACACGCTAGTCATGAGTCGGGTAGAAATACCTCTTGTCGAGAGTGGGTTGTTGCAGGAACAATCTCTCTTGCACTGCTTCTTACTGTCACCTCAGAGGAGCTCGACATCTCCTGTCAGACACAGAGGAATGTGAACACGGACACAGAATCCCTCCCACGGTGCCGCATGTACAACCCCTCCAGCTCACAAGTGTCTGCACACAAACGCACGACAAGGTTTTATCACCTGCGAGCGGCAAGAAACAGTGGGAGGCTAAGTAATTTTTATATTGTGGAAGAGCTTAATAAAATCCCCTCTGTGGTCGATAACAAATGTTTTTCCATTACTGCGCTGCTTCCCAGGGAGCTGCTAAGTTAGAGTCTTGCCAGAGGAGGATTTCAGCATTGGGGAGAAAATGGTAATAAATTACGTAAAACCTGCTCAGAACTGCGTCAGGCACTTCCTCCTCTGAGATTCATGCAATTTAGAGGAGATGAAAGAGAAATGTGATGTTTTGGCTTGTTTGCTGTGATGTTAACATAAAAGATCCATGAAGGGTGGAGGTTTTCTGCTCTGAAACCGCTGTCAGCGCAATCAAACCTTCTGTTTCCTGATGTTAAATTGTTTGGATATTACACCTGCAACTGGTTTGCTGCTGCAACTGCACAGACGCAGCTTCTTGATGCAACTGATTTAGACATTTTCTCTTATGTAAAATTCAGCACTCGGCGAGCGTTGGACGGGTCCACTCTGCTCCTACGCTCCAGTGAGCAAAGAGGGAAATGCAAGACGGGGTGGAAACGACCTTCTTCATGAAGATCCGGCTCCCGTCTGAGGCTGCAGCTAACGCGTTCTGGCATTTCGCTCACGCACTCGGTGACAGCTTGGTGTAGACGAGCTGCGTTCAAGGGGCCCTCTTTGACTCGACCTGCTGGAAGGCCTCGGCCTCAGCAGCCGAGTTTCTCCCACGAAGAGCTTCAGGAGGGTAGATCTTTATTATTTTACTCTGACAAGAAAAGATGGAGGTGCTCTGTCTTCCTAGCACTCCTGGATTTAAAGCGGGGGAATAAAATAAAATAAATGTCTCTTTAATCACTGTTCATGGATAAGCTGAACCCTAATATTACCTCACATCCGTTACTTTGTAACGTCACAAAATGGCCTGATTTTGGGATCCCACAGGTCAGAGCCACAGCCAGGTCAGCTTACCCCTGGCTATGACATAGCCTACCATATTTTCCCCTCACAGGAGACTGGAAGTCTACATGTACAGTGATCCCTCGCTACTTCGTGGTTCGTTTATCGCGGATTCACGACTTCGCAGATTTTTTCTTTGGAGCCTTTTTCAAGGGAAATTCGCAGATTCGCGGTATTTTTCTATGCGAAATATCAAGAAATTCCTGGTTTTTTTCCATCAATTTCATCATAAAATTCACTTTTTGTAATAAAACTATAAAAAAAAACAAGTAAAATTTTTTTTCTATGTAAAGGGAGGGTTTTAAAAGTCTGAATACTGAATACGTACCTGTTAAATAAATACTGTAAATATGGTGTCCTTACTTCGCGGATTTTCACCTATCGCGGCCAGGTCTGGAACGCATCTACCGCGATAAACGAGGGATTACTGTAGTCCCTTTAAATCAGAGCCTGCTTCTTCACACCAGCTGGAATAAGAGCCTGACAGAGATAAACAATAACATTCTCTCCTCCAAGGTCCATCACAGAGAAACTCTTTTAAATGAACTCCTTTATTCCCAGAAGAAAAGAAGATTTTATAATTAAAAATGATCATTAAATGAACTTTTGTTATCACTACTTATAGTGATTGTAAAACAATGAAATGTTCATTGATCTGTGCTTAATGATTAGCATGTTTACTGGATGAGGTCATCACATGTGCACTCGCACAAAGACAGAGTAAGTTAAGTTAACGCATGGCACACAGTCACGTCAGGTCACCTGTTGCCCAGATTCATAGTCTCCAGATCAAAAGAGGGTGTATCTCTGAGATGCTTGGTAATATCCTCAGACTTGTCAACTTCTGGTTGGCTAACCAAGATAACATCAATCTATTAAAACTAGTTTACTCTGGTTTTTCCTCAGTTCAAACAGGTCAACAGTTTGAGAGTTTTAGAGGAAACGCTTTGGACCGGCCATCTGAGCAAAGCCTCTTTTAACCAGCAAAGATTTTGACACGTTGTCAGAACGTTTTAAACCTTTTTTGAGCCTGCGAAGCTGAGAACAACAAGATAGCACCTGCAGAACAAAGCTGACGCAAAAACTCCTTCCGAGTTATTTTTAAGAAGCTCGGTTTCATCCATCCGTCGTGACCCGGGAGACATCTCTGGACTGAAAGGATTGGTACCTCCTCGGTACTCTACTGCCCTCCGGTGCCAGCGGTCATCCGACCCCTCTCTCTTTCGGATCCACAAGAGGGTCTCCGAATCCGGGTAATGTAGACACACAGATAGTGTCTGAATGTGGTTTTGATAATAACAACTTTAAAGCTTATTTGCAAACCAAATTATTTCCATCCAGAACTCTTTCTAAGAAACGGAGATTATGACTCCATTACATTATATTCACACGTAAGTTCCAGACACCACCCTTTAGTTCACATCCACTCACAGTGAATGATAGTTGATCTGTCAAGTCTTAATTGTTTGTAAAATAAATTCTTATTTTTTCCTAAACCTGACTGTTTCTCGAATCAAAGCGAAGTGGGTACAATTCCTTAACGAATAAAATTATCCTAGAATCTTCTGACTAAAACAAATAAAGACCAGACAAATTGACATCCTATTTGTAAATAGAGTATTACAGCTTTTGGTCACAAGTAGTGTAAATAATAATAATAATAAATAGCTTAAAGGGACTTTTGAATTTTTTTGCTCGTGATCGCCCCCTCAGGCCAAAAGCTTAACGGCAGCTTCAATAGTAGGCTCGTGCACGAGGCTCGCATGCTGTACGTGCACACTCCTTAACGAAAATAACAGCTGACAATCAGCTCCGTGTGTGTGTGTGTGTGTGTGTGTGTGTGTGTGTGTGTGTGTGTGTGTGTGTGTGTGTGTGTGTGTGTGTGTGTGTGTGTGTGTGTGTGTGTGTGTGTGTGTGTGTGTGTGTGTGGCCCGGAGGACAGAGGACAGGAGAACACGCAGCTAATTAATTAAATAATTTGGTTCTGTACCTTTCTCTTCAGCACAGCCGACAAAGGTTTATGATGGGTCAGTCCTCCTGCATGCTCAGATCATTCCCTTCCCTTGCTTGAAAAATTGTTCCAAAATGAAAGTTGAACCCACATCTTTTTTATCTGTGAATTCAATGCCGTTCGGCAAGTCTCAAATAAAAATTTGGGCATCTTACTGTAAAAATATACCATTAATGTAAAAAAGAAACTCTAAATAACAAATTGTGTTTGCACCTGGAGTTCAACTCAAGGCTTTTACATGGGAGTCCAACACCTTACTATGTGAGCTAAAGCACCAATGACATTCAGCCTATCTGTAACATTTATATCCTTGATGACAGCTGAAACAACGTCAAACCAAAGAATGGTTCGGAGTGAAAATGGCTATTTTGTTGCTAATTTGCAGGAAATATCTAGAAGAAAGTTCTACAGAAAGTAGCTAAGGGTCCTCAGAAATGTAGCTAGCTTTGTCACTAGGCGTTAGGAACAGCGACAAAGTGGCACTGCCTCTCTCTCTGCTGCTAAAGCTACGGATAGCAAATGCTACGGGCTATGCCTGAGCGTGAACGCGCATGAAGCAGCCTGCTCGACCCGAGCATCTCTCTTTTTCTGTGATTTTACAGAAAAACAGGCAATCACAGTAAAAATGCCAGGGCTCATTCTACAGGACCAGGGCGTTGCAGGAGAATGTATGAAGAAGACATTTATTATTTCTATACATGTTTTGGCTGTCACACTTCCATAATGTCCCTTTAAAGCTAATTCCTTAACCCAACATATCATTTATTAACATTACAACTTAATGATAGACGTTAGAATTCAATGTGACTTTAACTGATTTAAAGGCAAGACCAAAAGGCGCCTTGATGATGGTTTTTAACATCCTTGCTGCTTTTGTGATTTTAGATCATTTACTAACACGTTTCTATGGTTACTGAAGTGTGGTGACAAGCGTTTCACACGTTCCAAGTGCTTTTATCGATAATTACATGAAGTTTACGCAGAGTCAATGTTTGCTGTGTTGCGTAGAGTAGAAACGTGTTTTCTTTGGTGCGTGACTCGATCCTTAAATAAACCCCTAAAATAAACACAATGCTGTGGGAAGGAATCAGGTCCAGATTTCTAAAGCAGAGTTCCTTCAGCCTCGCTCGGGCCTGATCACTGACAGATCAGTAGAAGTAAGAAGAACCTGTCTGACGACATGAACAATTTAAAAGATTTTTTAAATAAACACATCATGCCCCATGCTAAAGAAACCAAAAACAGGTGTTAAAGGCCGCAGAGGTCATGATTCAACTATAAGAAAGAGACGGAATAAAAAAAATTGCTTCCATGGTTCCAGGACCAAGTCCTCTCCTGACTGAGAACAATACACAGAGGCGCTGCGGGACGGCAGGCAGGGCAGGCTAATTCTTGGGGCCCCCAGGCCACAAGGGGGCTCCAGAGGGCAGAGAACCTTCAAAATCAGAACCACAACAGCGGTGAGAAAGTGAAAATCTGTAATTTGACAGTCGTCCCACACTAACAAGGCCTTCTTCCTCCATCCCGATTGCTCCACCACACATTTCCAAATCTGTACCCCCTCCCATCTCTACTCAGAGATTCTCCATCTGTGAATTGGGGCTCGGGGCCCCATGACAACCTTGCAGCACCACTATGAAACATTCATTACAAGATGGCTCCCAAAGATTTCTTATTAAACATTCTTTAGACTGTCGAGACAAAAGTGGAACTTTCTGGAAGATGTGTGTACCATTCACCCTACACCCTACCAACAGTCAGGCATGGAGGTGGTAGACTGATGGTCTGGGATCACCTGCAGTAACCATGAATTACGATCTTTAGTAGAACATCCTGAAGGAGAAAGTCTGACCTTTGACCTTAAATGGGTTCAGTGCAGGAAAACGTTTCTATGTGGCTGAATTTGAACTATTCTGTGAAGAGTGGGACAAAACTCCCAAAGGCGTAAGAATAAAATGTGTTTGTGTGACAGATGCACGTCTCACCTGGACAGATCTCCTCTGGACATGGATCTGGGAGCTGCTGGAGTGAGACGATGAAGAGGCAAACTCGTGGCTCTCAAACTGTTTCTTGACGGTGGCCAGACCACCAGGCAGCGAGCAGGCCTCCGACTCATCCGTCACCTATCAGCAGCAACAGATAACACGAGTTAGTCCTAGAAACCCATCTGCACCACGGATTAAACACACCACGAGTGGAAATGGGTTTGAGCAGATTGAATTTTAAACCTCAGCGAACTAATCTCTGTCCTCATCTGTGGTGTTAAATTCTACATGTTTGTATTGTATTAATGCACAGCAGAGTCCTGCTGATGCTGGAGGAGCGCTGGTCTGGTTTTAAATGTGTCAGCATCTCCTGTAGATTAAAGCTAATCAGGATTAGGATGAATGAAACAACAAGGAATTATGGAGAAAGCCGGAAGCTCAGGTTTTTAATCCATTTAACTAATCAACATGTTTTCTGACATTAATAATAAAACTTTAAGGATGACAAAATCTAATTTCTAGAAACATAAGGTCCAAAGTGCATTTAATGCATCAGTAAAATATTTATTTCTACAACAAGATTAGAACTTTTCTCAAAAATCACAACTTCTGAATGCGTTTGGTGCGTTTTTACAGATGTAAAAAACAAACATTTCTTACAGAAACAAAAATAATAATTTTATTGATTAATAAAAATAATAAAAACATTATTTATTATTATTATTCTAATCATCATCATTGTGTTAAAGGAGTGGTTTACTGAATTAATAATCAAAAATAATCAATACATTTTTTATCGGTCACTGCATTTTTCATGCAGGCTGAACATGAAAGGACTTGAAAATCCTCACATAACTATGTCACACTGTGAATTTGCATTAATTGTCCCGCCCAGCTCGGCTCGTGCCCGCCCACAGGAAGGCTATGTAAAACAAATTTTGCAGCAAGAAGAGAGAGCGGAGAGTGTCTTGATTATAGTGACATGCGACATGGCTGAGCGAGTTCTGTTAGCCAATCAGAAGTGAGGTGTGTACATATCATTAATCATAATGAGCAATTCTGCTGTTTTCAGCCCACCTCTGCACCAGCAAACTTCTGCATCTCAGAACAGGAGCAACATGGCTATTTTAAGTTTAATGACACATAAAGCATTGATTTACAGAAAACACTGCAAATGTATTGAAGAAATGAATAAACCACACTTTAAGAAACAGTAACATTTCAGACTATTTGGTTAATTTAACTTGTACTATAATTTTCTCTCTCTCTCTCTCTCTCTCTCTCTCTCTCTATATATATATATATATATATATATATATATATATATATATGTGTGTGTGTGTAAACATATTTTTATACGGAGGAATAACCACTTGAGATGAAACATCTCGTTTTTGAGTGGGTCCTCCTTTACAGCAAAAAGAAGACCAAAAATTAAGAGCAAGACAGCGGAGCAAAAGTCAAAATCAAAACATTACAACAATCATTTACAGACTCACACACATACCCCCCCCCCCCCCCCCACACCCACACACACACACACACACACACCCTCAAAGGCTCACAATACTTCACCCCACCCGACACGTCCCCAGCTAACAAGGACAAAACAAAAGCAACAACTGTCGTCGTCGTCGTCTTCCTCCGCTTATCCGGGTCCGGGTCGCGGGGGCAGCATCCCAACTAGGGAGCTCCAGACCGTCCTCTCCCCGGCCACCTCCACCAGCTCCTCCGGCAGGACCCCAAGGCATTCCCGGACCAGATTGGAGATGTAACCTCTCCAACGTGTCCTGGGTCGACCCGGGGGCCTCCTGCCGGCAGGACATGCCCGAAACACCTCCCCAGGGAGGCGTCCAGGAGGCGTCCTGACCAGATGCCCAAACCACCTCAACTGACTCCTTTTGATCCAGAGGAGGAGCGGTTCTCCTCCGAGTCCCTCCCGAATGTCCGAGCTCCTCACCCTATCTCTAAGAATGAGCCGGCCACCCTACGGAGGAAACTCATTTCGGCCGCTTGTATCCGCGATCTCGTTCTTTCGGTTATTACCCAAAGCTCATGACCATAGGTGAGGATTGGGACGTAGATCGACCGGTAAATCGAGAGCCTGGCTTTCTGGCTCAGCTCCCTCTTCACCACGACAGATCGGCTCAGCGTCCGCATCACTGCAGACGCCGAACCAATCCGCCTGTCGATCTCCTGACCCCTCCTACCCTCACTCGTGAACAAGACCCCGAGGTACTCAAACTCCTCCACTTGAGGTAGGACCTCTCCCCCGACCCGGAGTTGGCAAGCCACCCTTTTCCGGTCGAGAACCATAGTCTCAGATTTGGAGGTGCTGATCCTCATCCCAGCCGCTTCACACTCGGCCGCGAACCTACCCAGCAAGAGCTGAAGATCAGAGCTGGATGAAGCTAGGAGGACCACATCATCCGCAAAAAGCAGAGACGAGATTCTCCTGCCACCAAACTCGACACACTCCACACCACGGCTGCGCCTAGAAATTCTGTCCATAAAGGTAATGAACAGAACCGGTGACAAAGGGCAGCCCTGGCGGAGTCCAACCCTCACCGGGAACAGGTCCGACAACCAGTTGAACAATTAGTAGCATAGACAATTATTCCGAAGATAATCGACCAGAGCCCTTCGAAAAGTTGTGAATGATGATAAAGAACGAACAGATAGAGGAAGATTAGTCCAATCACATGGAGCCTTAAAACCAAAAGCATGTTTCCCTACCTCTCTTTTCACTCTAGGAACAACAAAAAAGATCTGGTCATTATGCCGCAGCTGTAAAGTGAATTATAGGGAATTAAATGCATTTTAAGATAATCCGGATAATTAAGGTAAAAAGTTTTAAAAATGAACTGAAACCAGTGAAATTGTCTCCTGACAGCAGGTGCGAACCAGGACAACTGTCGATACATCACACTTCGATGTGTCCTAAATGGACAACGAAGAACAAAACAACAGAGACTCTGATAAGTAACATCAATAGAGTACAAACAGGAGGATGAAGTGTTCTGATAGATAATGTCAGCATAGTCCAGAATAGGCAGAAGCAGCTGTGCGGCGGTTCTTTTCCTGACCAGAAAGTTAAAACAATTAACAGATTGATAGAGGATTTCAGGACGAGAATTTAAATTTTTTTGTAGTTGATTGTTTGTGTTTTAAAGGATAAATCAGGTTCCAGCCAAACACCAAGATATTTTATGGTCTCCGTGGTCTCCAGAGGAGAGGAGTCAAGAAAACAAAGCTTAAGGTTTTTTTCGCCAATTTCTAGGGCTTTCTTATGAAACAGTAAGGAATGTGATTTTAAGGAGAAGTTTATTGGCCAACCGCCACTGCTGAATAGAATTAAAGTCTTTTTGTAGCGAAAAATGTATCTCAGTGACAGTTGGCTTACTACAATAAATAACTGTGTCATCAGCGTAAAGATGAATATTGCAGTCTGTGCAGCACAGGGGCATATCATTAACATAAACAGAAAACAACAAAGGTCCCAAGGAAGAACCTTGAGGGATGCCTTTAGATATTCCAGTAAAATTTGACTGACAGCCCCTGTGCAACACACACTGGCGACGATGATGTAGGTAAGAGTTAAACCAAAGTAAGGATGATCTTGAAAGGCCAACAGCATGGAATTAATCCAGTGAAAGATAATGGTCAACTAAATCAAATGCTTTGGAGAGATCTAAGAAAATGGCTCCAGTGCACAAATTATTATCAAAGCTAGAGAATACATCATTGGTACATTTCAAGACAGCAGCGGTAGTAGAGAAATGTTTTCTGAAGCCAGACTGGCACTGAGTGAATAAATGATTATCGGAGAGATAGGCATAAAGTTGATTGAAGATTAATTTCTCAAAGACTTTAACCACGCAGTTGATTATTGATGTAGGCCTGTAGTTGTTCAGAATTTTTGAGTCACCTCCTTTATGCAAGGGAACGACTTTAGGCTTTATTCTTATTTTATTCTGCTCACCTGTTTGCACTTTGTAAACTCACCATCCCACAGTTAAAATTCTGTTTATTCACCACAGTTTTATGTTTGTTCCTGCAGGTAAACCCATTCTATTGCCTGTTTCCTCTCAGTTTATTTCATTAAACTGTTTTAATTCACCAGTTTTTTTGAGTATTAAATTACAAAACAATAAAATAAGACAAACGATATATTAAAAAGCATCAGATAATTCCCACCAGGCACATTAAGAATAAAACCTAATTTATTGAGTCTGTAAAACTAAATAAAAACAGGCCCTAGCTCTATAGAAGAGGCTTTAAAGGGATGCCATTATTTTAGGAAGTTAAAAGGTTTCCCATCTCCGTCTTTAAGCTATTTTATAATTAGATTTTTTTCCCCCTTAAAGCCAGGAATTATAAAAACATTCCTTTATCATTAGAAGAGCCACGGAAGAAATGGACTTTTTCCTTTCAAATCAGAATAAAGTAGAGAAGGTCTTTCTATGAGACTCAGGCAGGAATGCACTCTATTCCAGACAATAATCTCCTTTTGTGATCTTCAATTACAATGCTAATAAAAGATTTATGTGTAGGTCTGTGCACACAGCTGGAAGGGAAGGCTGCTATATAAGACAACATCTCCCTGTGCTGCTGCTGCTGTGTGCATACCCATGTGATATGTAAATACTTTCCTCTCATATGCAAAGGCTTTGAGTTTCTGCAGACAGGTGACATTTTATGGCCGTCGTTATCAATATTTCACTAATTTATGTAGACATCAATGGTCACTGATGATTCTGATCACGATGAATAAATATGGAACTTGCTTTCATTATTTACATGTTATTCATTAAAGTAAATAAAGTTGTGTTTTCACCAATGATTGACTTTTATTTCCAGAAGGGGTATACATTATATATGTCCAGAACTGCGCTGCTCTGGGTGGCTGCATGTTGGAGTAGCTCTGTTGACTATATGTAAGTTTTGCCTTTTCTTGGGCATTTTTTCTTCTGGTTTCTCAAGAAAAACTGTATTTTTTGGACATTTTACTTTTCTGTTTCTGGTGCTGTGAAGCTTGGAGGATTTTTACTGCTATTTTTTTTTTAGCTGTTTTCACTTTTTGAGCATTTGTTATGATGCATAACCATGGCAACAAGCTGGTTTACAATCGGGAGCAG